TCTGAATGACACCTTTCCCCCAATTACCCTTTTATAATTTCTGTTATCAATTATCTGATTCTTATTTACCATCATAAATCTCTTTGTTTCTATACATGTAGGCTATCAACTACCATATAAAAATGTGCTAAATCTCTATTAGAGAAATGCAAATGAAAACTTCTCTGTGGTTCTACCTCATACCCTTAGGAATGACAGTTATTGTAGGGGTTATAGGAAGATATACACATTAGTTGGTGGAGTCAGGAGCTGGGAGACAATTTGTAATTATGCCTCCAAATTCACTATGGTGTGCAAATCCTTTGACCTATTGATATCACTACTAGGCAGTACATAAGTCAAATCAACTCAACAAGTATTTATTACACTCTTACTATGTACCAGACATGGGGGGGGAGGGCCATGGTGGCAAAGTCTGCAGGTTCAGAAGCAGAGCTAGGAGAGGAATGAAGGATGGCTAGACTAGGTCCTTCCTTAAAATGAATGTTGTAGGAGGAACTCATCAATTGGAGAAGAAGGCTTCAAGAGTGACTGGAGAAACCAATGTATTTCAGATATTGTCTGACTAGAGAATTAGCAGAATTATCATTTCCCTTGCTCTGGATAGTATACCCCAAAGAAGCCAAATTATAGATTACAAACTTCAGAGACTGGAAAGATGATCTCAAAAGAAAACGGAGAAATGGGAAAGAGAGGTTGGAGGGATCTGTGATCCAGCTAGCTACTTGAATGGCCAAGGGAAGGAAAAATAACTTAATCGAGGTGCAGGGGGAAGGGAGGGAAAAGGAAGGAAAGAAAGGTGAGAGGGAGAGAAGGTATGTTTTTGTTGACTGAAAAAAATTAATGTAAAAAGAAAAAAATCTTTTTACGTGTCAGTTTTTCTTTACATGAAAGACACCAAAATAGTTTATAGGTATGATAAATTTTATAACTCTTCTGGAATTCCATGCCATGTTTCAAGTCACATAGGAAAACATCAATTTTTAGTCACTCATAACCTTATTTGCTCCCCAAATGTCTCTCTACCTTATGATGACTCATTTTCTTAACTAGTCTTGACTCCTAATGGATTTTAGGGTTTTTTTTATGAATACTTAAACCACTCTTAGAAGATGAATATTTGCCAAGAAAATAAAGGAGTACTCAAAGATTATTGTGTAAGCACTGTAAAATATTCCAAAAGATGAGTTCCAAAAATGTTGGGAAAATGGTAGTATTATCATCAAAATATTTTAAAGGTGGCCATTTTTAAGGAGATGATTCACATTTGAACAAAGAGCATCTATGAAGTTTGTTACAAATATAATCACAGTAATTAATATTCAAGAGAACCTTCTGAGAATTCAGAATAAAGCCACATAGAAGATATAAAAAAAAATCAAATGTACTTGCAAGTCATAGGATCATAGAAATTAGAGCTAGTCCAATGGTCTCTGATCATTTTATACTATGCATCCCTATCAGTATTTCTTTTCTTGGTGGGTATGCTGTGAAGGGGATATTTTATTTTCTCAATGCCACCCTTACTGTTATTACAGTTATGTAACGGTGGTGGGGGTGGTTAAGTGGTTAGCTTCTATGGGGTGAGGCTATAACTGTCCAGAGGGACTTAGGCCTGACTTAGAAGAGGGAGAATTGGGAGCTTGCACAGCTGCAGGAAAAAGTATAGTTGGACATATTGAGCTATAATGGGTGGAGGAAGAATAAGAATGATTGCTTTGGAGACAAGTCCCATGAATGGCTATTGCAGTAAGGGCGTGATGTGACCCATCTTTCCACCCATTGACTGGTTTATTATGTAGTCTTTGGGGTCAGCTTATGGCTCCTTTGAGTTTAGGACATAATGACCAGGAAACCCTAACCAGAACTTTGGAGACCACTGATCTAATCCAACTAGATCATTTTACAGTGTGGATAGCGAGGCCCCAGAGAAGGGATGTATCATTTCTAATGTTACTAACACTGTTAGCAAGTGGGAGAGCTAGAAGTTGCTTCTTTTTCCACTGGACCACACTACCTCCAAGAGAAAGACTTGGTTTTTTTTTAGCGCAAGTAAGAGAAAGTTTGAAATTAATTTCATAACTGTTATCAAACAAAAGAGAATGATCAATTGTTGAATATATAAAGGAAAATGATCAATTGTTAAACTGAGGAAGCTACTAAGAGAATAGATGGTACATAAAGAATGGGTTCAGACCTCCGATTTCAATTGTGTAGGAAACTCTCAGGATGGAACTATCCCTCCACTGATGCAGACTAGCAACCTGTCTATAATATAGCCTTAGAGAATTTCCATAGGAGCGCTGGGTGACTGAGTCAGACAAGTGACTTGACCATGATTACCTAGCCAGCATGAGTCACAGGCGAGACTTCAGCCTGGTCTTCTCACTTGCAAGGATGGCTTTCTATCCACTAGGCTGGGCTACCTCTCAGTCTATATTTTAAAGAATCTCCTAAGAGAAGATATATTAAACCAAATAAACCAAAAATAGTATGATATAGTAGATAAAATACTGACTTGGAATCAGAAAATATGGTTTTCAATCCTGCCTCTGACACTTGCCAGCCATCTGACCATGACTCAGTTATTTAATTTCTGTAATCCTTAGTTCCTTCAACTGTAAAATGGGGATAACGGTCCGTATGTCACTGGATTGCTATAAGGTACAAATGAGAGATTCTTTTTAAAGTGCCAGCAAACCTGAAAGATCTAGCTGAATGTTAGTTATTATTTAACCAATTAGTTTCTGCAGGAGGATGGACTAGATGACCCATGAAGATAGATCTCTCCCAAGTCTAAAGTTCTCCAAAAGAATTGTCTACAAAAATATTTATATGGGTTAATCTGGGGCTAGTTTTCTTCCATTACGTAATAGCCATGTGGGATTATTGCTTTTTTTTCTCTGTCAAGGTGAAAAACACATCTTCTGAAAAAGATTAGACTCTTATTTCAATTAATGTCCTTTGGATTTGGGTATTAATCTTTATACCTAGTAGAGAGAGTATAATCATTCAAAGGGCCTAGCAGGTGTCCATTTAATTCCTCCTATTTGCTTATAAACAGCATGTGTCACACTGGGATCAAGAGGCCTTTCAAAAATTAAAACCTTCTTGAAAGTAACCTTCCATTAAAATAATTTAAAATAATGTAATATTTGACACAGATAATTAGAACTTTATTGACTATATGCTAAAATCATATTTTCTCGTATATCACCTCATGATTATAGAATTGCTATTTTTACTTATATACTTGCATATTGCTCTTAAATGTGTAAATGAAACACTCATTAAATCTGGGAACTAGGAAATTACATAGTGGAAGAAAAAAAATGATCCATTTTAACTCTGGATAAGAGAAACTGCTCTGATGTCCTTTTCTGTTGGCATATATTTCATGTACTATATTAGAACTTTGAAGTTACTAATGATGGGAATTTTTAAAAAAAGGTCAGTGTATAAATTGTTACTATAAACCCAAGGGAAATTTTAAACATGAAACTCTGAATGCAAAATATTCACCTCTTGAAGACACCCCTCAAAAAGAGCTAGCAGCACAACATTTCACCTTGTGAATTTTATGGTTCTCTGAAAAGCACCTCAAACTCAACAGGTCCAAAACTTGACTCGTTGCCTTCCCCCCCAAGACAGCTATCCCCTACTTCTCTTGTTCTGCTGATGGTACCGCTATTCTCCTGGTCATTCTCAATTAATTACCCCAGAACCATCTTTGTTTCTTCCTCACAGCCCAAATTGCCAAGTCCCATTGACTCTGCCTCTGCAGGATCTCTTATATCCATCCCCTCTTCCTTTGACCCCACTGCAGCAGTAATAGGTCAGGTTATTATTCCTTCTGACACAGACTATTATAATAGCCTCTGAACCAGGCTGCCTGCATCCAGTCCAGTCCTTCTCTGATCCATCCTTCAATAAGCTCCCGGAATAATTTTCCTAAGGGACCACTATGATTTACTCAGAAACCTTCTATGGATCTCCACTGATTATAGAATACAGCATAAGCATCTATGTTGGTTTTCCCCATTAGAATGTAAGATCCTTGAGGATAGGGACTCACTTTTTACATTTGTATCCTCAGTGATTAGTGCCTGACACATAATAGGTGCTTAATAAATGTGTACTGGTTGACTTATTAAGGAAAAAAAAATATCGAAATAACAAATTTGCATGGGGGCCAACCACACTGATGATTCATTATTTAGAGCTCATCATTTACTTAAAAATAGCTAACATCTTCCTCCAGTCTTCTCTTTAAGGGGCTAGACCTTTCCAATTCTTTCAACAAATCCTCATATGGCATGAAACTTCCCTTTCCTGGTTGCCCCCTTCGAATTTATCAAGGTCTTGTTTTGATTTTTTTTAATGCAGTGCCCAGAACTAAATACAACAAACCACAACCTTGGGTAAGTCACTAGACAGCCTTGAGTCCCAGTTTCCTTATCTGTAAAATGAGGGGGTTGGAACAGAAATCTCTGAATTTTTCATATTTCCACATCTCAGTGTTGTTGTGAGGATAAAATGAGATATTTGTAAAGCATTTTGTAAAATTTTCAAGCATTATATAAATACTAGATGATAATGATACCTATTATCCTATGTGGGCTGACAGGTCAAAGCACAGGAAGTCTATCACCCCCTTATTCTTGACATTACAGCTGTTGCTTTCATCATCATCACACCACTAGCATCATTTCCTCCTTTCATTCCTTTCCTTCTTCTCGAGGTATTCCATTAATAATTTATACATATTTCTGGGTATTCTGTTTTCCCTTTCAATTTTGTAAGCCTCCATAAGTAGGAGCCATATTTCTTGGAACCCTATGTCCATCCCTCAGCACCTTGAGTTTTGCTACGTGCCCAGCAAAGCCATTTGGTTTCACACTGCTGAAACTGTTGTCGTTGAATTAGACTTAAAAACCATAGCACCACATACCACGAGAGCAAACACATGACCATCATCAAGAAAACCCAAAAATTCTTACCTGTAGAACAGAAGCTCCACTGTGTAGAAACTGCAGACCACTTTCAGCTGAGTCGATTCCCCCAGTGGCTAAAATGGGAAATCCAGGCAAGGCTCGGGCAATGGCTGTTACAGCTCGTAAGACTATGGGTCTAATTGCAGTTCCTATGGGAAGGAAGAATAACCAAGGGTTAGTATAGTGAGCATTTTTACATATTGCTTCAGGATGATTATCATGTGATGGCAGTGTTGTACTAGACAAAATTCAAATGTGGGTTATCTGTATTTAAAACATACATATATATGCATATTATCTGAATATTCCTATGTTTCCAAGTATGTTAATTTGTAAATGGATGTGGATCTATTTTTAACGAAGCTGACACTATTATTATTGCATGGAGGAGTGTTATGCAAGTGGGTGTAATAACCCTGAAACTGCAGCTTGAAACATTTCCCTCTTGCATTTGAGATATAGTAATGTGTAAGAAATTGGATGGAACATTTAAGCATCTGTTTAAAAAAGAACAAGGAACAGCAGATTTAGAAAAAGAAAACAATTACATACAGTACATAAATAGACACACAGCTCTGTTATGTTTCCACAAAGTATAAGGCAGCTGGTGTGAATAGAGATATTGTGCAAACAAACAAGGTGCTGATGGACTTACACATTCCATATTGCTTTTTACATCTATTTCTCATAGTCTGATTAAAGATAATGGGTCTGATCTCGTTTTTCCTTTATTAAGGAAGTTGGGTGAAATTATGTAACCTAAAAAGCACATCTCCAAGTTCTCTCAAGTGCTTCATATACATTAGTTCCTTTGATCCTACAACAATTCACTAAGGTTGGCACTGAAGGTATCTCCAGTGCTTAGCACAGTGCCCATAGCAGATGCTTAATAAATGCTTGTTGACTGACTGCTCCCATTTTACAGATGAGGAAACTGGGGCTCTGAGAATTTAAGTAACTTGTTTGAGATTAGGCAACTATTGTGCAAGAAGCATGATTCATTCAAAGCCAAGTCTATCTTTGCTCTAAGCCCAGTATTCATTCTGTTTCACCTTTTGGGGAAAAAAAAAACAAGAAAAAACAACAACAACAACAACAACAAAAAACTATTCAAATCTCTGATTTCTTCATGGTAGAGAACTCCTGGTGTGGCAGTGCCTTCAAATGATGCACACTGGCAGCCAGGGTATAATTAATCATCTTCTTCAGTTGTGTAGGGGCACTAAGTAACTTGCCCATGCCCAGCATATGGGAGAGTCAAGCAATGAATTACTCCAAAGAGTGATTAAAAGAACTTGTATAAAAGTAAACATTTTTTCAAGTCATTTTATGAATACCCGTTAGTACAGTAAAGAGTTTCAGATCCCCAAAGCATTAATATATTTTCTAAACATGTGATCTTACAATGAGGGGAAACTCGTAGGATATAAGGTATAGATGGCTAGTACTTGGTATTCATGCACTCCAATAAGTCAGGGTCCTTTATTAAGACATCTAATTATGATTAAAAATAGTTTAAATTATCCAATCCAATAATCTAATACTGATTCAAACTGCAGCTTCCTGTACACATAAGGAAACACGTTGGTAGTCTAATTAAGCTATATATGTTTTATATTTTTTAACCATCTCTGCTTCCAACCACTGTCTCTGTTATCGATATTTTTGTGTGTACTTCCACTGGATATATGACTGTGATGGACACAGAACCCATGTGAATATCAGTTCCTCCCTTTCTCTTCTTATCATTTATTCAGCTAAAACTGAATCTTCATGTTCCTTATGTTTGTACTTAGGACAAAGATAATATCTGTAAAATGCTATTGGTGTATGTTGCCTGCAAGAAATAGAAAAAGCATTTCAGCAACCCAGGATTTATTAGTTAGTAATAATCATGAATGATAACTCACATTCCATAACACTAAATGACAGTTACTCAGTGAATTCAATGTAAAGGTGAATATGGGAAAACCAGCAAGAAATATTTTGGAAAATATGGCACAGAGACAAGAAATGAAATAAGCCAAAAGCTTATATGCTACACAGAAGCCTTGCATTTTTTGTCATGAATGCTTTCTTCAAGAAGAGAATAAGGAGTCACTAGACAAGGTGAGTTTCAAATAATAAAACAATAAACAAAACTGATTTCATCTTAATAGACAGGAAATTACTAGTTACAGATATGGTTACATTAAGAGGAAAATAACAGTAAGAGGAGGGCAGCTAGGTGGTGAAGTGGATAGAGCAGCAGGCCTGGAGTCAGGAAGACTGCTCTTCCTGAGTCCAAACCTGGACTCAGATACACAACCCTGGGTATAGAGGTATATAAAATAGGTATACAAATCAAACAGTTACGGATAATAAATCATAAAGAAAGTTATTTTAAAATAATTCCTTGGTGTACATATAAATTTTACCGTTTATTAAAGATGAAAGCAAATTTGCATACTAATGAGATGGGTGTGCTTGTTTATTTTTACATAAAGAATTAAATCTTGGCAGAATATTTGATAAGGCAGGATGTAGAGCATCTTAAGTGTTTTTCAGAGTAGACTGATATTTTGATTTTATAACTGTCAATGCTGAGAATGCCGCTTTACATAAATACGTAGTACAAGATGGCAGAAGTACGTTTAGGGCCATTTCAGAAATTAATGGAAATTCTGGCCTAATTCCAAGCCAAAATTCATTTAACAATTTTGTATGTACAGTAAAAACACTGCAATTCATAACATACAATAGTCTCAAATCTGAGCCGAGATGTTTCTGGCAGCGTTTCTTGCATGGTGTGAAGACGTGCAGTGTGAAGTGCACATGTTGTGGGTTCAGAACCAAGGCTGCAGTGAAGTTGCGCAATGCAACATGGGCAAGTGCTTCCAGAAACTCCTGGGATTCATTATGCGTTTGATTTTGAATTAATTTTCAGTTATTGTGCATTCAGAAACCTTTTATTGTTGCCATATTTGTCGCAACCCTGCATTGAGCTATGCGACCCTATTTGGGGTCAGGACCCACAGTTTAAGAAGCTCTGTTATAGAGGAACATGGTAGAAGATTTAGAATAGCATTGCCTAATAAACCAGTTAAAACAATATAAGAAAAAGTAATTAGAGAACATTTTGAAGTGAGATTAGATTAGGGCAGATCATCATAACAATGTTTAAAAATGAAACTGGATGGTCAGTGATGTAATATGTAATAGATATATAGATGAATAATGATATAAAATAAATAAAAAATATATAGACAATAGATAAAAATGGTAAAGAACCATCAAGATTTCTATAAGAAGATTTTACATCAATGATGGTGAAGGCATTACATTTGTTCTCTAACACTGAAGTCTCTGGTGAGTTGCCTGAGAAATATAAATGGAGAGGAAGAAAACAAAAATTGGAATTTTTGTTTGAAAGAATATTGGAATTGGAAGAATAGCTAGACAAGATCAAGTTTGTCTAGAAGAGGTCTATGCTGAAGGTGACACAATTTTATGAATTTTGAAGGACAGATCCTCAAGATATTTGAAAGAAGATGATACGAAATTATTGAGGAAAAAGTTGACTATTATTCCTGGAAAAAGGTGATTGGAAAAATACTAATAACTACTGGCCCTTATGCCTGTTTCCTCACCTCTCTAAAATCTTGATGATAATTTGCACATATATTTAAGGTACTTGATGAAAATATGAGGACAGAACATGTAGGCTTTTGTGATATATGGATAGCCAACCAGCCCCATCTCTCCTATTTATTTATTTATTTATTTTTAGACCACTGGGTTAAGTGACCTGCTAGTAACACACAGCTAGTAAGTGTCAAGTCACACAGCTAATAAGGGTCAAGTCACACAGCTAGTAAGTGTCAAGTGTTTGGTCTGAGGCCGCATTTGAACTCAGGTCCTCCTGACTTCAGGGCTGGTGTACTTTCCACTGTGCCACCTAGCTACCCTCAACCCCATGTTTTTAGTCACAAAATTGACCGAGAAGTTAACAGAATGTGAAAGCTCACACTGTATATTGTTTGTTCACTATGTTAAAAAAATGGATTTGTAGAGGAAAATGATACCTTAGAGCTCTCTTTCAATAGAGCATCTTGCATGCATGTATTAAGAGCTCAAAAAAATCACGTCATACCTAGAAAACTGGCAAAAATGATAAAACTAGAGAAAGTCAGTGATGTAGGGCTGCACATTAATGTGTTATTGGTAGAAGAATGGATCAACACAATCATTTTGTAAAGCAATTTGTAATTATGGCAATAAAGTGACTAAATATAGACAGACAGACACACATACCACCATCCTCCCAAGATTCTACTACTAGATATATACCCAAAGGAGGTCATTGATAAGAAGAAAGTTTCCATATACACCAAAATATTTTTAGAAGCATTTTTTTTGTCATTGTAGCAAAGAACTGGAAATAATGGAATATGACTATCTTGTAAAACAAATCACAAATATAATGAATGTAGAGAAGCACGGAAAGACTTACATAGTGAAATAAGCAGAGACAAGAAAACAATATATGCCATGACTAGAACAATCATCTCAAAACAGTCAAAAGTAAGAGTTACAAAATTACAAAGAACAAACATGGCTCCAAAGAAGAGAAATGCAGAGGTGAGAGGTATATATATTACATTTATTTTCAAATGTTTTCAGGATATTGATTGGTCTTGCTGATTTTTTTATCTTTTATTGTTCTTTAAAAATCTTCTTTGTTATTTGGGAGAGGATGTGGAGGATGCTGCAAAAACTTCAAATGGTTTCAAAATCTCATTTAAAAAATGATAACATTTCTCAATGGAAAATAACAGTTTACATTCTGATAATTAATCTTTTCTGATAATTAAAATCAAATGAGGCATAAAATACTCACCAAAAGCATTTGACTCTATTACAATGCGTGTTCAGAAAAGAATCGAAATGGGGGACAGATCCCCAAGACATGGCAAAAGTCTGCAAATGATGGAATGTAAGTTCCTTGAGGCAGTTACTGTTCAACTGTTGTCTGTCTCACCAGTTTCTAGTTCAGTGTCTCACACTTACTATGTCCCTAATAGATGTGTGTTGGTTTATTGATTGCAGATGACATTGGCCTGATTGCATCAGTGTTAAAGAGGTTCCTAAAGCACGTTCATAATCTCTC